TTACAGGTCCTTCTCAAAAAATTAGCATATTGTGATAAAGGTCATTATTTTCCATAATGTAATGGTAAAAATGAAACTTTCATATATTTCAAATTCATTGCACACCAACTGAAATATTTCAGGTCTTTAATTGTTTTATTGCTGATGATCATGAAAACCCAAAATGCCTGTTCCAAAAAATTAGCATATTTCATCCCACCAATGAATTCATTGGTGAATCAACCGAAAGCCTTACTCACTCAGCCTTATAACCTGAATCTCTCACTCTCTGCTCTTTGAACTGAGAAAGCTCCTCGTATGAGGAGCGAAACGTCTTCTGTTACAAATAAAGTCCAGTTGTTTTTGTATTGAACGTTTTGTTGACTTTTTTACAAGTTATTGTAAAGTACTGTCTTCTTTACAAGTTATTGTAAAGTACTGTATTCTTTGCAAGTTATTGTAAAGTACTGTATTATTTGCAAGTTATTGTAACGTACTGTATTCTTTGCAAGTAATTGTAACGTACTGTATTCTTTACAAGTTATTGTAAAGTACTGTATCTTTATAAGTTATTGTAAAGTACTGTATTCTTTGCAAGTTAATTTAAAGTACTGTATTCTTTACAAGTTACTGTAAAGTACTGTATTTTTTACAAGTTATTGTAAAGTACTGTATTCTTTGCAAGTCATTGTAACATACTGTATTCTTTACAAGTTATTGTAACATACTGTATTCTTTGCAAGTTATTGCAAAGTACTGTATCCTTTACAAGTTATTGTAAAGTACTGTATTCTTTACAAGTTATTGCAAAGTACTGTATTCTTTACAAGTTATTGTAAAGTACTGTATTCTTTGCAAGTTCTTGTAACGTACTGTATTCTTTGCGTTATTGTAAAGTACTGTATCTTTATAAGTTATTGTAAAGTACTGCATATTTGCAAGTTATTGTAAAGTACTGTATTCTTTACAAGTTATTGTAACGTACTTTATTCTTTGCAAGTTATTTTAAAGTACTGTATCTTTATAAGTTATTGTAAAGCACTGTATTATTTGCAACTTTTTGTAAAGTGCTGTATTCTTTGCAAGTAATTGTAACGTACTGTATTCTTTACAAGTTATTGTAAAGTACTGTATCTTTATAAGTTATTGTAAAGTACTGTATTCTTTGCAAGTTATTGTAAAGTACTGTATTCTTTACAAGTTAATTTAAAGTACTGTATTCTTTACAAGTTACTGTAAAGTACTGTATTTTTTACGTTATTGTAAAGTACTGTATTCTTTGCAAGTCATTGTAACGTACTGTATTCTTTACAAGTTATTGTAAAGTACTGTATTATTTGCAAGTTATTGTAAAGTACTGTATTCTTTACAAGTTATTGTAACATACTGTATTCTTTACAAGTTATTGTAAAGTACTGTATTATTTACAAGTTATTGCAAAGTACTGTATTCTTTACAAGTTATTGTAAAGTACTGTATTCTTTGCAAGTTCTTGTAACGTACTGTATTCTTTGCGTTATTGTAAAGTACTGTATCTTTATAAGTTATTGTAAAGTACTGCATTATTTGCAAGTTATTGTAAAGTACTGTATTCTTTACAAGTTATTGTAACGTACTTTATTCTTTGCAAGTTATTTTAAAGTACTGTATCTTTATAAGTTATTGTAAAGCACTGTATTATTTGCAAGTTATTGTAAAGTACTGTATTCTTTGCAAGTTATTGTAAAGTACTGTATTCTTTACAAGTTGTTGTAACGTACTGTATTCTTTGCAAGTTATTGTAAAGTACTGTATTCTTTACAAGTTAATGTAAAATACTGTATTCTTTTCAAGTTACTGTAAAATACTGTATTCTTTACAAGTTATTGTAAAGTATTGTATTCTTTACAAGTTAATGTAAAATCCTGTTTTCTTTACAAGTTATTGTAAAATACTGTATTCTGTACAAGTTATTGTAAAGTACTGTATTCTTTACAAGTTAATGTAAAATACTGTATTCTTTTCAAGTTACTGTACAATACTGTATTCTTTACAAGTTGTTGTAAAGTATTGTATTCTTTACAAGTTAATGTAAAATCCTGTTTTCTTTACAAGTTATTGTAAAATACAGTATTCTTTACAAGTTATTGTAATGTACTG